AAAATAAAGGCACGAGCAATTAAATTGCGCAACAAATATTTCGCAATTTTGCGCAGTTACTTCGCGCAATATTGTAGTATAAATCACGGACCCGATTGAATTCTCTGGCTCATTTGCCGATCTGAGATTCCGGCGAAATCTGAGATTAACAGAATAATTTCAGATCCGAGATTGTGTGGCATGTTTCTTCACATTAATTGCGCAATTTTGGATCTGCAATAAATCTTGCGCAATATTGGATCTGCAATATTTCGAGGAATTCAATCTCGGATTAATTTATTTCAGAATATTGAACGCGCATCAAAATAAGATACTTGTGATATGTAATCATTTTCCTTTTTTTAGGATTACAAATATGGAAAACAAAATTTGAAAATTTTATAAAATGTTCACTCAAATTTTGGCTATACCTATTTAATTCCTCTTCAAGTGATCTAAGAGAGATTCTTTCATTAGAAGATCCTTCAGAAAGTTATTAGTGAAATTCTTCATTAAGAGCTCAGCTATCTGTAATACATCTTGAGTGTCCCACAACTCCTCATTTCATCTAGCTAATATATCATTAGTTTAATATAACGCTATTAAAGAGACCTGAACCTGTCTCATTTTATATCGAATGTGCCAAACTTACTTAATTGATTTAGATATCTAATCCAATGAGTAATTTGATCATTGATATTTCTTACTTGATCAGTTTCGTAGATATGATCCTGTTATACTGAGGAAGATGATGCTGATGATGATGATGGTGAGGAATATATCAGATTAAAACGCATTAAGCTCATAATTTTAGTCAAAAATTTCTCAGATCCTGACTTTCCTAGAAATCCTCCCATATGTATTATTTTAGCGCTATATAAATATTAAATATTTTTAAATATTTTTTAAAATTTTAATTTTATATTTTTTTTTTTTATTTTTGATGATTTTGTAAAGACATTGAAAGTACCGTAAAATGGAATTATTTATTCCATTTAATCCACTTTAAGAAGTCATTACTGCATCTTAAATTTACCATAAAAATAAATTTATGATTTATATTAATGCAACATGTAGATAATTTAAGATGCATTCGCGATACCTTAATGACTAAAATACCATTATTATACCACTAAGGAATTATCGCAGCATTTTCCCAGCACTTTGAAATTTTAGGGGTTTCAGGGCGTTCTCAATCATCTCTATCAATGTGATTGGCTAGTGATTGAGATGATGCTCAAGCTTTTTGATCAATTGAAATAAAAATGGAGATCAGGGCTTGATCAATCTCTCTTGGTCTTTCTGTCAATTTGCTATGCCTCCAAAAAAAAAATAACAAACTAGCAGTTCGCAGAACTTTAACAGTTCCTTTTACAAATTTAATGAGTAATTTATCATAGCAGCAACAACAAAAAATATCATGCTGCACAACATTTTATATGACCTTTAAACGAAATAACTGATAATTACAAAGGATCATTAGTAAATAATTATTTTTATAATTATTTATGAGAAATAATAATTTAATATGAATTTTTTTAGATATTCTTTTCACGATCTCTTATAAAGATCAAGAAAATCAATTCCCTTTCAGCACTACGCCTGTTAGAACTAACCTTACCCAAATTTCTGCTGTCACCGTCCAACTTTTACCTTTGATAATTCTAATAATTAATCCTCCCCAATAAAGAAAAAATTGTCCAGAAAATGTTATCGAAAATGTCCGGGTGCATGTGGAAAATGTCCAGAAATGTCAAAATCGTCCGGAAAGTGTACCAAAACATGGTAGATTCCGTACAACGCGTGATTTCTTGATATTGTCTGGAATTTATACCGAAACATGGTGGATCCCGGACATTATCTGGATACTACGGCAAATTCTGGACAAATTCCAGAATTTTTTTTCATAGGGATTATTATGATATGAGTAGAGGTTGGAACCGGCCGAAAATTCTTTAACCGGTTAACATGTTAACCGTTTTAACCGGTTCCAACCTCTAGATATGAAGCATTGATGATTTATTAGAACAATTTAATTGTGATGAATTTTTATGCTTGCCAAATACCATCTGTATTTAAAAAAAATATTGGGAGTCACTAAATATTACATGCCAATAAGTTCGTATAATGAAATTAACATACTTTGGAATCTCTGTACAACGAAACAATGAGAAAAAAGGCAACAAGTTCACATTCAAAGTTCAATACCTTTGCTGAAGAGATCGGACCAAAACTCTCGAATGGTCCTTCAAAATTGAGATGATCAATGTTGATACAGATCGGTGAGTCGATTTGGAACGTGTTGAATTCTTTTATTGAGGAAGGCATGAATAAAGGTTCTACAAGTGGTAAGTTCATCCACATACGTATGAAATCGGACTTTATGGCTATTGATCTATTTACATCATCAGTATGCTTAGTATTTTTCTATTAATTTAAATAACAAGGAAATCAAAATTACAGTAGCCACTGGTTATAACGAACCTGTTTATACCGATAACTCGTTACATCGAACCAAGTGGTGCAGAACCGATTTTTTATAATTAATAGCATATGATATACTGAAATTATATAGTAAAATGCGATATACCGCATCCGAACTTATGTTAGCAAACCAAATATATTAGCCACGTATTTGATATACCGAACGATCACGTGACTTATTACAATATAAAATTATCGTAACGTGAATAATCTTTTTTTCATCGGAACACAGAAATTTTGTTTAAAGAATTCCGATACCATGTCAAGAAAAAAGGGTATACTTTAGCTGCACAAAATCCAAGTCTTCCTAATATTAAACTTACACACCAATTATGTATTGAGGCAATAATTTGTATTTTGAAATAATTTTGTAAAATGCTAATACCGATATTACTAATTTCACATGTCTTTAATTTTATTGGTAGACACTATATACCGAACAGTTCGGTATATAGAGTGAGCATCATATATCGAACTCATCCTATACCGAACCAAACCCTACAGAACGGAGGGTTCGTTATATCCAGTGGCGACTGTATATTAAAATTAATTACTCCTAAAAATAATTTAATAATTTCTCCTAGAAGATTAATGAATTTTAGTGTCGCGTCGTAATTATTGAATTATATCTTCTGAAACCACGATTACATGTCATGATAGAATGATTTTAATTTTAATGGATTCCGAGAATTAGTAAAGGATTCTTGAAATTTATAAGTATCTCCAAAATATAAAATTCGTATATTCTCATATGTTCTTAATTTTTTGTTAAATTAATCGCTCATTAATTTATAACGAGTTTGCAAACTTTTTTTTCTTTTTTTTTTTATTCAACAAATTTGTTGATGTATTCAATATATACAAAAGTATAAACCAGGAATTAATCTGATTCATATTTGAATAATTTTTGTCATCTAACCATGCATTAGGAAAAGTTGTCCAAGCAGTTCCCAATTAATTGAAATCATTACTTAAGAAAACAAATTTCATGCAAGTTCTTTATTTGATAATTGACGACCAATAAGTTTTAAATGGCATTATATCGGGAAGATTCCATATTTCAGAAAAAATAATATTGATTCAAGTAGTGACTAAAATTGACTATTTTTTTAAAAAAAGAAAGTTGTTTGTTTTAAGAAGAATTTTGCAGTAGAAATTACCAAGGAGCACAATATAGTCCTGGATCCTGTAGTGTAAATTTTTTTTTGCAACCTTTGACGCGAACAAATGATATCTGAGAAATCCAATTTCAACGGTAGGTACGAGAGGAAGTTTATCTAATGGATTGATAAAATCATCCAATTAAGAACCCTTGGTCTTCATTATAACTATAAAATTTTAATTTGTATGTAAATATTTTACATACCTTTGTAAAGTATCCGGTCCAAACATTAAGTAAACAATACTTGGATTAAGCAGCTGTAATTGACCATATTATAAGATGCAGGTGTTATAATATCACGATAAAGTGAGGGTAAACAGCATGATTTGCAAACTCAGTGTTGGTAAGACCAAATGCCAATGGTAAAGTCATCCAATACGAAGGAAAAAATGATGTGTCCATTGGGCTAAGAATACTTCCTGGAGGTACGATCTTGGTAAAACCATCTATTAATATAACAGCCGCCACCGACAACGTAAAAATATTCCAATATCGATGCATATTACAAAAATGATATCAATTTCAACTGCACTAGGTCGACACATGGAAAGAGAGTTTGGAGTGAATCATCAACGAGAATCATTATAAAAACTCTATTTTATTTAAGAAACTATTGTCAAATTATATATCAAAAAAGTTAAGCCCTTGATAATACTTGCGCCACGTTAAATAAATCCATCATGAACAAATCTCCCATAATTAATTTTCCTTTTTGATCGGAAGCTTGAGATGCAAATCGGCATAGGTTAGACAGGATCGGTATCAAGTTATTTGTTAAGAATAATTCGTTTTTAAGCAGAATAAGCATAATGATATAAAATATTATCTCGCATACTTGAACGCAAGTGGAATAAACAAATCGCAATTCCCATCAATATGTTCTATTTAGGGAGAGATAGAATTTTCGTGAACGTTTTCCTTTTAATAGTTAACGAAAAATATGCATGACATTTCACTCCACAGCATTGAAAACTGTTCGATAAAAAGTGGATTTCCAAGATACATCAAACTCTTGTAATCCTGAGCAACTTCTAATTTCTAATAATAACAGGTTGAGAAAGAAACAAACCAGTCATTCAGTATTGAAAACGTCAGATCTCTCATAGCTTAGAATCCAAAGCATTATGATTGCTTTTTCTTGATTATCAATTCGCTTTGTAATAAGCCATTAAGTCCTTGATTAATATTATATTGTAGATTTCGAGAATATGATGACATAATTTCACAGAGCTTGAAAGCGCTGTTTATCATTTCATTTTTTTCAATTGTTAAAGGACCAGATCCTTGAACTTTCATTTTGTAAAAACAAAAAATTTTTTTCTCGGAGAAAAAAAAAAAGGAGGAAATCGAGCTTTTATGTATTATACAAGTTGATTTACGTCATAAATGTGCAGATATATTCCTAATTAGGAAATTTTGCCAAGCGTCAACAAAGGTTCATGGTATAATTTTTCATTCTCCGTGAAGCGAATTCATTGAAACCATTGGTTGCGAATTAAATTTTCGAAAAATGACCCGATTCATTTTGGTGACAATTAATTAGTCACATTTGGAGAAAATTCAGAAAACATTCTTTAATTTTGGAATATTTATAACGCATCTATAAAGAGATAAAAACAAAATTATAAGTTTTCACGACTCGCCGGCTAATATTTGGTTAAAATTAGCCGGTTAAATTATATTTTAATAATTAACATAATTGTTAACTTTAAAATGTAATTAAGGATCAAAAAATTTCATTTATTTAAAATCAGCTAAATTATCAAATCATTCTCACATTCTTTCGTTAAATATATATACATTATTCATTATTTCGTTAACAAATAACATTCATTTTCTTATGGATTAAGTTTTAAGTTTTGAATCTTTTCGTTAAACTGTTTCCTAAAATTTCTTGCAGGACAAATTTTTTTTTTTTCCGATAGTATATGCATCAGCCGTTAATATTACAATGTTAGAAATATTTCAAAGTCTTAACTCCTTGATTAACAAGGATTTTAACCAAAATTAAACTATAAAGAATTATTGGCATTGTTATAATTAACCGTCAAAATTAGCCGGTGAAATTAATCGGCTAATAATTAGCCGTTTAAAGAATTAACCGCCAATCAACCGGTTAAAATAAGTTTAATTATCCGAATATGGTAAACAGGTTAAAAATTTTAATGATGTCCCAATTATCGTGTAGACTTTTAAGCTGGAAACTATCCGATTATCTAATGTTTGATTTAATATTCATAATAAAGCGCCACAATTATTTCTACAAAGAACTGATCTGCACAATATTACATAAATAAACATTATTTTTGGATCACATCACATAACTAACTTCGGTACAGAAAAATATTCTCGAAATTCCAGTTATGCATTCAATTTTCGATAAAGTATGAAAAAATTTTTGCTCCTTTAATTTTGTCATAAATCAGATAGAGAGTGCATCTTATATATATAAACATATTTTCTACATTTAAATACTGTACAAGCATGATAGAATCAGAAATAATTAATTCAACGGATAATATGAACATTTTAGTTGATAAATTATTTTTACTATTGGTTAAAATACAAAATGAAAGTAAAGATTTCTGAAACGAAACATTTTCTTAATAAATGCATTACTCTTTCAACTCGATCGAATGAAGATATTGTTAAGTGGCTTAAAGAAAATCATAGTGAATCAAAAAATGTTTTATTCATTGGAATATTTTCTTATTACAATATGCTCAACCTAAATGAAAATAATAGTGACGGATTCACATACTTCCTAAAAACAGCTGATAGTTGTCATATTGCACAAGTATACTTAAGTAGATGTTATGTTAAAGGATTTGGAAGTGAAATTAACAAAGATTTAGCAATTTTTTAGATGCAAAATGCAATAGAAAATGGAAACATTTGTGCTCAATATGAATTGGCTAATTTATATTATTTTGGCACAGCAACTGATGTAGACTTAGAAAAAGCATTTTATTGGTATCAAAAAGCTGTAAAAAATAATAATATTTAATTTAGCTACATGTTATTACAATGGTAAAGGAACAGATATAAATTTAGAAAAAGCGTTTTATTGGTATCAAAAGGCTGCAGAGAATGGAATCAATAATGCAATGTTTTATTTAGCTTTATGTTATCAAAATGGTGTAAAAATAGAATTAAATTTAGAAAAAGCGTTTTATTGGTATCAAAAAGCTGCAGAAAATGAAATTTAACAATTTATACTATAAGAACATTAAACATTAAAGCCTATGGGTCAGGTAAATAAAAGAAGGATTCAATTTTTGATCTTATGAAATACAAAATATATTAACTAAGTCTCGACAATTATCCTTTTATTTGCTTCATCAAACAAAAAATAACAACTTCAAACTTCCATTATATCAAAAACAATCAATATTTCATTTTTCACCTTTTTTTTTAAAGGTATCATTCTCTATTCGTTTAAATTCACATTACAGAAAATGTGAAATGAATTGTAATAAAAATGTATCTACAAAGCATGTTTCAGGCAATGAACTGTTCTGAAATAACTGTCCTATGCTAATAAAAAATCTTAAATGAACAATATTGTATATTCATGAATAAGATTTAAAAACAATTAATTAATAATGAAAAGACTTTTCAATTACAAAATTCATTATATTCTGAAAATATAATAGAAAAATCTTGCAGTCCGTTTTTTTTAAAAATTAGCGTTGTCAATATTACAAGTTTTTTCTTGCTGTTAATTTTTTTCAGTTTGACTTTATTGTGTGTGTTTACTCTCATTAAGTAAATAGGTAGGTACCAGATTTATTATATCATTATGATTTAGACAAGGGTTAAATATTCTAAAATTAAATGACATGACATTAATACTTTTTTATGATATTTTGGCAATTCACAATTTAATCAATAAGTCAACTTTTATTAGTATTTCAATGACCATTTCGACTTCAGACGAAATTCAATTAAAATCACATGAATTAAATCAATAATGCTCAAAAATAAAGTCAATAATGGATGGATGAATCTTAAAAATTTGACGGTTATTGACATTTGCACTGCATGCAGTCATTGAAATGTAATCCTAATAATAGAGATACTTAAATATTTCATAAATATTTTAACAAATTTTTGATTAAATAATGGTAACACATTACTTTAACAAAATAATCCATTCTTAATATTTCTATATAAAATGAAGTTTTGTTGTATCATTCATTATCAAATCTGATATTTATTCAAAGATGGTAAATCGTTCTTATTTTCATCTTGTCTATGGAATTTCATTTTTATATTTTTATTCAACGATAAAATTTGAAATCTTTTGAATTTGATATGTCTTATAACTATGAAATTCAATTCAATTCTTTATAATAATCACAAATTACTAAATATAAATAAAATCAAATTGTTATATAATTTTATTTTGTCTACCAGCATTATCACAAGTAATATTTAAATACTTTTTACCTTTGTTCAATTTCTTAATTCTATTAAGATCATGTTAGGTGTATAAGTTCATGGAATCTAAACATTATCTCATTAGTATTTTAAGAAAGTTAAATTTATTACCGGAACTAACCAGTTAAGAAAAAAACTGATACTTTGGGGACTAACTGAATAAAAATTTATTATAGATTATTTTTAAGGTTTCAGGAAGATAGAAATTAAATTTTATATTTCACACTTGAATGGAACTATCATGCAATGAATACTTTAAAAAAAATTATTTTTATACATGAATCTAGGAAAAAATGCCATATGTTCTTGAAAATATAAAATTAATATGGTTGTTTCTTACTAACTGTTCAAGATGTGTTTATAAAAATTTTTTATAGAGTATATAATTTTTTTCATACTGAAACAATATTAAAATTTATGGAGACAATTAAGCAAAACAAAATAAGACATGTTTCTTAGTTTAAACAAAATGTTTGTTTATCGAGGTTTTTTTTCAGGGATGATAACGGTCGGTCGTAGTCAGTCACTGGTCGGTCAACGATCAGTCAAAGGTCTTTGACTGACTGACTGGTTAACCGATCGATTTTAACTGACCGGTTGACCGAACAGTTAATTGTAATATAATAAAGCAGTTTTGGCTTAATAAAAAGTTTTAATTTAGTAAATATTATAATTTTGATTCTTGCTTTAACAATACTAGCATGGCATTTTTTTAAACTACTTTATCATTTTTATATAGTGGCGCAGTATTATCGCAAACTTAAATTTTTTTTCAAAATTTCAAAATTTTAATTTATAAATAATTAAAATAAAATGTAGATTTTGTTAATTTTAATACAAAATGTTTTTACTATTTACAGTTAATTTCATAAGTCAGGACAGCTGATAATATCTGAGACTTTTTTGAAAAAATTTATAAATATTTGAAAAAGCTAACCACATTTTATATGGGTAAAAAAATCATGTCGCTATATTCAGAATACTGATCTGAATATAACGATAATGTTTTTTCTTCAATAAATTCTATACAAGTTTTTTATCAATCCGTAAAATGATCA